ACGTCAGGCTTATTACTGGCTTGAATAATCATGGTGGCATTTTCAGATGTAGGCATGAGGCTTTTGTTTTCAATAAATGATCAGGAGAGATGTGCTTTGTAGTTGTGGTTTGAGTTGATTTTCATTTGGTTTTCTAATAAAAGTAATCCTGTTCTCCCAATATGGTGCAAAAATTTATTCCGTTGTGAAGTTCATCTCATGTAAAGAGGCCTCTTCCGTCTCATGACCTAAGAATTTTTGAAAGCCCAGTTGATGTCTCCTAACAAAAGGACCATGATAAGGGGTTCAAAGTCAGGGTTCAAACCCCTATCTCAATTTGAAAAGGAGAAAAAGACCATTTCTAAACAAGAGAATTCGAAGAACAATATTTCAATCAATAAGCTATTACTTTCAACACTAGAAACGAAAATGCAGTCAATTCTACAGCTCTTTGGCTGGAAAATAATACATCTTCAAGTTTTCTGCAATATTTTTTATGGTAAATTAGAATATGTAATTCAGCTTTGAAGTTGTGATCTTTGACTGGAAAATTGTGCAAGACTTTGAATAACCACATTTGAATTAAAAAATCTTGAAGCCTATAAAACTGATACAGAAACTTTCACCATAACCATGTCTGTTACAATAACCTTGTCATTGTATATGCAATGGCAGCAAACTCTCTAAGATCCATTCTAGTGACCCTTGTTGTCTTTGCGCTGGTTTTCTCTCCCCTGTTGCTATGTGATGCAGTTCGAATTACCTCTCCAGGTAAACCCTGACCAGATGTACATGTTCTGTTTACTACAATTAATGGTTTTACTTCAGAATCGGATTTGAATTTGTTGTTGGTGTTTGTGCCTTAAGGCTTCTTTGGACCAAAGCGACCCATATGTCCTGCTTGTGTCTGTTGCCAAGCTGCGCCACCAGGCTCCTGCTGCAGTTGCTGCGCTTCCACTGTTGGACCTGAGTCCCAAAATGAATCTCCATGACTTCATATCTTTCCTCAATAATGGGATTCCATTTATCGGTACTAGTTTTTTCGGGTTTTCAAGGCTAAGCGATGCCCTGTTACATATATGATATATGTCCTAGACATTTTCCGGGTGCTGTAATTTCACACATATATACACTCTCAATAAATTTAGCAGTGTCCTGAACTGCTAAGAGAAACTGGATTTCAGTTTTTGAATAGATGTTGGAAAATAGATATTACATGAACAAATTAACAAGCTTTCATTAGTTGCTAAGGATTCCATTTCCTCAGGTAGTACTTCAAAGATTAGTAAAAGAAACCAACTAAACTAATTGCTCGTCTTTGTTGACTTTTCCAACAAGAGGTGATTTGTGCATTCCGATTTTGGATTCAGAAGAATTCTTTTTCTTAAAACTACGCTTGTTAGTCTTAATACAAACTGGCGTTTTCTGCACATCATGAAATTGAAGCCTCGTGGGAGCTAAGACAGTTCCCCCATCTTTCAACCTGTTTCTTTTGCCCATCATCCCATCATTATCTGAGATAAAGGTGGAAGATCCATCTCAATTCCACAAACAATCAAAGATAAGAGGAAACAGATAAAACAAGTGAAATTCAGATTACCAGGACTAGACAAAACAGCACGAGGGCGCGGAGTTGAAGCTGCTTTTCCACTCAACTTTCTCTTCTCACCATTGTTCTTCTGGTTATTCATCACTGTCAAAATGCATTTCATAATTAGATTAAGGTTAATGCTGTACCCTTCTGTTTATAATCATGCTAAGATCATTTATATGTAGAAGAGGTAAATATATGTCTAACTAACTCAATGTGGTGTAGTTAAGTGGTACGAGTCACAATATCATGTCAAGAACTGCTTTACTCGAAAATTTAGACAATTAGATACAACATCTAAGATGTAGAAGAGAATTAATTACCCTTTAGAAGCTGAAATTGAATTAGCCTTAGTGACTCTGGCAATTATAGGTGGAGAATTAGAATCCGATTGAGTTTCATTCTCTGCACGGTGAGTAGAAAAGAGAGGGAATATAAAACCACACGTTACATGGGAATGTAGGACGGATAATTAGTAGTATTGATATATCCTAATGAAATAGTAGCAGCTGGTATTAATTACCTTGGCTAGAGAAAGACTCTAAAAACAGAACTGAACAACAGTCATCTTCATCCTGTTCCGGCCTCACTTTCACCTTTGGGTACACTTGGATTAATTTCAAAAACAAAACAAACAAAAGATTCATGTTAGAATTGCTAAGATGCCAAGAGCTTCCGAAACAGTGAAAGAATTAAAGGCCCTGTTGATTAAGAAGAGAAAACTCACTTATCTTCTACTGTTGTGTCTTGTTTTTGGAATTGGTGGTCTGAATGAGAGTATGTGGTGTGTAGTAGAAGTGATAATGAGAAAGCAAAAAAAGAAGTGTGGAAGAGAAGGAGGTAACGGTCGGCAACCGAAATGGGAAGGAGTAATTTTGATGATTTCTTGACTTGAAAACCAAAGGACACATTTGGCTGTTTGAATCATCTTGGCTTTGGCAGAGGAGAAAGTGTTTTTGGTCTGGAAAAAGTATGAGCCAATACTGAAGTGACACGTGGGACAATGTCAGGAGAGCAGTGGGACAGTGCTTTGTTTTGATCGGCCTCGAGTTTGAAATTTAGTTTGACACTTTGGATCTCATAAGGAAGCCCAATTCGCCATGAGGCCCATTATCTATCTGTTGTCAATAATCAATGTGTCGGTAATCGGCTCCATAGGCTGAAAGGACTCTTACAAGTTGCATCGAATCCAAGATCCGTAACTACCAGTCTGCCTGTCCAGGCCCAGGAATTTTTTTTTTTTGTTTTAAACTAAAAGAAAAAAATATATTGTACTAATTTTTTTGGGACAAATATATTGTACCAATTAAGAATTATGTTCAACTCGAAATGATAAGGGTGTCACGACATTCTTCAAAGTCCTTTTTTTTCCCCTTTTTTTCCCTTTATTAAGTTGATTTGATTTCGCTACCGTATGCAATTTGAAGTTATATACAAGTCTCAATTTTAAAATTTTTTTTATCAACGTATCAAACTACTCAATGGGCACTAAACCTCAACATTCTCATTTTAGTTTCATGGTGTGGTTACAAATTTGAAGCTTCTAAGGAAAAAAGTAACTTCTATGTATGAACAACTTCTTTTAAAGTTGTGCTAAATTATTGACTAAAGTGTTTGCTTTCATTAACAAAATATAAATACAAATTAGAATTTTGAATGCAACAAAAAAATAAGAACTAAACTAAATATATCAATTTGAGCTAGCTAAGTCCCTCTATCTTCATGTCTTCCAAAAAAAAAAAAAAAATCTAATAGAGCATGGGCAAACTTGATGTCACATCTTCAACAAATTAAAATGTGAAAATCTTGAAAAATTTAAAAATTAAAGTTTTTCTTAAGTTCATTTTACAAATGAAATGAATTACATTTTCATTTATTCCCAAACATCATAAAATATTTTAAAATTTGAAAATTTCTTCAATGAAATGTGAAAATTAAAAATGTAGATTTTAATATAAATTTTGTATTTAATTTAAGATTAATTGATAATAAATTAACTAAACTTCTTTATATTTAACTTATATATTTTTTTTTATCATTTTACCAATATAAGATTCCCTTAAAATCTATCGCATGGATCTTAGACTACAGATTTAAGAAATCCTTACGTGCAAGTTTCAGCTGTCATATGAATCTTACGTTAACAAACAGGTTTTACATACTTCTTGCTCATGCACGGCCGAATTATTATGGGGTCTTAAACTTTTCAGCAACATATGCTCGAATTATCACCAGATCTCAAACTTTTTGAAATTGAAATTGGAGTTTTGATATTACATGAAAATTAGATATATAAGTTTAATATAAAATTTATATTTTATTTAAAATTAATTTTTATATTTAATTCATATTTTTTTATGATTTTAATAATATAAATTTTTTTCAATTAACACTAAAATTCAAAATAAGTTGAAATCCACCTTTCATTTTAATTTTTGTACCAAATATCCCTTAAACAATAATAATAAACTGAAAAAATAAAACCACACCCCCCCGACACGTAAAGCCCTCCGTCTTGCACAAGGGTCATGGATCACAGGTCTACGGTTTGAAGGAGGATGATGGGTTG